TGTTCTTTGGTATTTTGGCAGTTCGATCTTGAAGGGATTGCAATAAGGAGGAAAAGAACAACATAAGAATTAATTACGTGGTTTTCTATTATCTTTGCAGAAATCCTGATTTTAAATGAAAGTGGTTTTCAGGAGCCTCTGAACCATCATGTTCTCCTAACCAGGGTGCTGGGGCACAGAAACAGTGACAGGTAAGGTAAAACAAGGAGGAAATCACAGCATTGAACAATTAGTACAGTGTTATTGCCAACATGATGCACTCATGTCAATACAGCTGCATATCTCTGTGTCCTGCAAAGTCAGAAATTATGATTGACCTCATGAGGATGCTTTTAATATCCCACTGCTAGTCCTGTGTTCTTTTGAATTTAATTTTTATAGATTACTATATTCTTGGGGGTGATGTGATTGGTTTTCACTTACTTTGAAACAGCAGTCTCCCTTCCTCCCTCTTCAAAATGGGGGGAACAGAAACTGCAAATTCAAGTTTACATATAGAAACAATCAAGTCACATTTCAGTAGAAAATGTCAGAAATACTGGCAGTACCCGTGAATTCTTCTCCCCATTTTAAACCTGTTATTCCAACAGCAAAGGTACCTTTTAAAGATAAGCCCTGTGTATGCTTAGAGTTATGATAATATTTTAATTGTATTTTCCAAAAAGTAAAAGTACTGGGAAATGAGATACCATGTGATGCTGCTGTCGATCCATAGATCCCTATAAAAATAAATCTGATGTCATTAATGTAAGGTAATGGCTTGAAAGGGCCTGTAATAACTTTTAAAGGTCCTGTGTCTGGAGAGGAAAGCAGCTTGACAGACACAAGTCATGAACTGCTTTGCTTTCCACGCTGCCTTATATCTGTCAATATATTGGTTATGGAGCTGTGCCGAGGCCAGTCTCCAAAGGCAGACTGTCACATTTCTCAAAAGATAAAGCATCCCTAAGGGTACAAAGAATTCAGGGACACAAGCTGATAGACAGGAGCAGCGCTGCGACTCTAACATTTTATGGCTGAGTTCAACGAGTGAGCCCTTTACTGGATAATTGAATTGATGAAAGGCTTACAGTTGCCCCGATTAAGCTTATTCCTTCTCCATATGTAAGACTCAGGGTAGTTTAAGCAGAAATTGAAGAAGAAATTCAGGAGAGAGACATTCATAAGCTCTCTGAAAACTGGTCTTGCATGAAAAGCTTGCCATTTGTTATGTTACATGTGCTGTTTGTCCGTACAAAGAATCCTGTTGTCCAAGAAGTGCTATTTGCAGCAGCCTTTTTTTTTTTTCTTTTAACTAAGGGTTTGTAAATATTTTTAGAACATGTCTTGCTGCTTCATGACTCATTCCCCTTACGATCTTTGGTATTTTTCCCATTTGTGATCATGCAGCATCCCTGTGGCATATGGTCACCTGGGAAAGTATTATTAGGGAAGAAATTAAGGGATTTTAGCTATTTTTAACATTTATTGGAAGAATGAAATGTGGAAGAACACATCAAAGCAACATTTTTCAATCTTCTGTTTTACATTAACCAGTCTCATTTGTTTGTGCTTTCCATGATGTATCCCTCTATTGTATCTTTATTCATAGCTGAATTGGAAATTATCTGGGCAATTTTCTTTGCCTTTGCAACGTGCTTGTCCAGTGCCAAGTGCAAGAGACCATTAGGTGCTATGATAATACAATTTTTAAATAATTGTGTATTATACCAGGAGATCATAATTTCCTGCTGATGAAAGAGAACAGCCAGGAGATATTTAACCATGTGGTCAGGTAATGAGGACACACCTTCTAGTGTGATGAAAGGGAAAAGGAAGTATGATCTAATTCTTCAAGCCTAAACTTAGATTTAGCACTGTAAGTATTAGCAGCAGGATGCCATGGCAGTGTGAGGGTACAGTCAGAAGGAGGACTTATTTTTTTACAGTTCAACAGTAGGTCATGTCCTGTGTCAAGTTATGAAAGTTATCATAAGATCACTTAAATAATCTTAATAGAAATTAACTTCTAAAAACACAACTTCTTATTTATGAACACTAGCCATGGTGGGCTACTACAGAGCACAGCCAGCTGATGTAATAATGTGAAGATATCAGATTTGTGACAGGATCTCCAGACCCTATCTTTTTATTCTGTCAGGTTTAAGGGCAATGCCTGTAAATAAACCAATTTCAGTTGCTTTTTTTACTGTATTCCCATTGTCCTTCTGAAGACATTAAGGGAAAGGGGCACTCAATTTATACATGAGCTTATAATTAATCAATAGGATCAACAGGCTGGCAGTCACTTGATTTTCAACAGAGTGTCCATGGTTTGCCTGTACCAAAGCTTCATTTTTTTTAACATTTCATTTCCAAATTTCACCTCTAGAGACAGCCAGCTACCAAGAGAATCCAGTGCTGAAAATCTTGTCTTGGCAGTGCCTAAGGTTTCATTTGCTCTTGGCTTGGACAGTCAGACAACATCCTTGCTGGACCAGGACAGTCAGATGTACCTAGATAATCTGCACTAATCAGTGTGAGTCTCATATAAATAACTTAATATGGCTTACAAGTTGCAACACTTGGCTAGTGTGCTTACACTCTCTCCCTAAATGTATATATATGTGTATATGCTGAGTATTCTGACAAAATTTTTTAGGGAAAAAATTATTTCATTAACAGTTCATTTTTATTTACTATGTTTAGTGCAATATTTATACATGTTTAGTGCAATTATATATTTATGCTACTCTCACAGGTTCATGAAATATTATACCATATGCTTAAATATTTTTTTTCTTTAAATTAAAGACTGTGTTATAATTGCAATTTTTTTTCTTTTACCCAAACTGGTTTTGGATTCCTTCCCCACATGTGGTAACATTTACCATTCTCTTTAATTAACCAGATTGGTGAGAATGGTGAGATTGGTGAGAATGTTTGATTTTTTTAAAGAACCTTCTCTTTATGGAGAATTAACAGCTGGAAAACTGGCCAGCTGAGCTCAGTCATTTCTAAGTATTTTGTTAATTTTTCCTGGTTAATGGTCCTTTCGAATTCAGAGTGTGCAGTTTCTTTAGACTTGCATCAAACACTCCTCAGAACTGGCAGCTCACAGTGGGAAATGATAACCTATTTCCTTCAAGCACTGCAGCTCTATCTGTGAACTATTGGCATCACATGAAGATTTATTAAAGTTCTGCCGACACCTAATGCACACAAGAAAAAAAAATTTCTCTTTGCCTACCAAAGGATAGCCATCTCAAATTCTAGCTGCTTATCTCTGAGGTGTGAAACAGACTGATTCTGTTTATCAATTAGGGTGCCCATATTTAGAGCAACATTCAGAGAGTGATGGTAATGAGGGCCCACATTCCTGGCTCCAGGGGAATACTTCAGCATTAACCTCAGTGCTGGGTCAAGCACTGTCCCCTTTAATGAGGAGTGTTAGGCCTTCCCAGGCAGCTGCATCTTGAGCTGAAGTGTGACATAACCTCTTCTACCTTATCATGTCAGGTGACAAATTTAAACCACAGTGAGCTGAAAAAGGCTTGCTCAGCACTACAGATAATTTAATTCCTCAGTCATCTTTATCTCCTGTTGACATGCTCCAGACTATAAAACAATGATAGAAACCATGTTCAGATAAACATAAACCTTATGAAGGTGTGCAGTGGACTTTGTGCCCTTCCCTAGTTCACCTCTGTGAACGGCAGACTGGGGTGCTGCTGATGAAGAGGGAAGGGATGAAGCTGGAGTGATCTGTGCTTTGGGATCCACCAGTGTGTGTGACAGAGCTTCTTCCAAACCTCAGCAGCCTTGCCCTGCCTCATGTGCAGCCCATGGGCTGATGGGGATGTATGAGTTTAACCTAGCCCTTTTTTGCATGGTGTGATTCTGCCAGTCTCTGTTTCCTTGGAGTTTCTATTTTTAATATCATATATATGTCTCCAGAAAATTACCTGGTTAGGCTTATAATGAAAAGTTTCCTGGGAACCACCACCTTTTTATCTGTTCCACAATGGGCTCGCTCCTAAAATAGGCTTGAAATATACCCCATTTCTCTTTGGGTTTTAGAGGATAAAAGAAGTTTATTTCATTAGTCATGAGTCAGAGACCAAGCAGCTCAAAGATTTGAAAGTGCTGAATCCAAGTATCATAGTTTATGGTTGGGAGGCCTCATGATTCAGTCAAATATGCTCCTTTCCCCAAGAATTACATAAGAATTACCACTTTGATGTTGCTTTGTATCCTGAATAAGCCACCTAAACATTTTGTGACTCTCCTTTTATAGAAAGTGCATAATGGGACATATATTGTTATTGTAAAGGGCTTGGAGGCAGTGCCGGGGCCTCTTTGCTGCACTAACAATAGCAGTGATCTTTAGGGCAGTACAGCGGTGAGATACAGAAATTGTCAGCAGTGCTTGCTGTTGTGTAACCCCAGCCAGAAACTCAGCCCCACTCCCTGGTGTGATGGGGGAGAGAATGGAAAGGGTAAAAGTGAGAAAATTTATGGCTTGAGATAAAAGCAGTTTAATAGGTAAAGCAAAAGCCACAGGTGCAAGCAAAGCCAAACACAGAATTCATTGACCACTTTCCAAGGACAGGCAGGTGTTTGGCCATGCCCAGGAAATCCAGGCTCCATCACATGCAATGGGGACTTGGGAAGACCATCACTCTGAACATCCCCCTCTGATTCTTTCTTCCCTAATTTTACATGCTGAGCATGACTCCATATGTTATGGGATGTCTCTTGGGTCAGTTGGAATGGCTTGTCCCAGCTGTGATCCCTCCCAGCTCCTTGTGCCCCCCCAGCCCCTTGCTGCTGGGGCGTGGTGAGAGGCAGAAAAGACCTTGGCTCTGTGTAAGCCCTGTCAGCAATAACAAAAACATCCCTGTGTTATCAGCATTGTTTCCAGCACAAACCAAAAACATAGACCCATGTTAGCTAACTTTGGAAAAATTAAGCTCCCAAGCCGACACCAGCACACCTGCTCTGCTGGGAGCGTGGAGAGAAGCAAGTCTATTGAACAGCTTCCAAGGCTACAGTGGCTTGGAAAGAGATCTGGATTGCCAGAGAGTACCTGTGGCCACTTGGCAATCCAGGATCTGACTTCTACTGCCTCTGAAAGGCCAGCCAGATGTAGTGACCTGACACTCAGGAAAGGAAAGCAAAGCTCTCTCCTACGAGGTAAGATCATTAGTGGGTGTCTAAAGGAGAATACTTGTTGTGACATTGATTTATGCAGTCTTTTAATTGCATTAAAATAGGTATAGCCAGTTTGATGTTTGCACTAGAGTAAGTTTTTATGAGGCCAGACTAATGAATGAGCCCCTCTGCACCCTCTGAAATAATTTGAGTCCCTCCCTTGTGTATAGATTGAAATTACAGCAGCAGCCACAGCACAAGTGTGGCAGTGCCTGGAGAGCAGGCCAGTGCAGACACATCAGTCAATGTCCTATTGATACACTAACAAAAATGGACTAGCAGTGTGTCAGTGTTAAATGTTGCCCTGGTTTTATATGTGTGCATTTTTCTAGAGCTAATATAATTTCAATTATATCCTCTATAATTAAGTATCATTAATAACCAAGTTTTATTAAATTAAAAATATCTGGGAAGTGTCAGTCATCTTTTTGTATTGTACATTGGAGAGGGCTGCAGTAGATCTGTATGGAGCCCAAAAGCCAGCTGAGAAAACTGGAAAGAAGTTTCAGTTAGTGGAGGGAGGTTCACAGCAAGAAAAATAATGCTGATGCTGTAAACTCCTTCATTCTGACCCTCCCATTCCACTTAGGCATGTTAGAGACAGACCTCCAGTGAAGTCACTACTGAAACTGAGGAGGGTAAGCAATAGCTTTTCAGACATGATCTATTCCTGGTAGCTGATGATTGATTTTAGATGTTTGAATAAATGCACCTACCTTTTTTTCTAGTGATAGAATCATTTCTAGTGCATAAAAGTGTTGCATTACATCGCCACATTTCTAGAATGCAGTGGCAGCAATAGCTGCATTTCAGGTGCCTTTCTTAATCATTCAGAACCAAGAAAAGAACATGCCTTTGAGCTGCCTGAGGGACAGCACGACTGGCATCAAGGATGAGCACACCTCCTGTGCAGGCTGTGGGCCTGAGCTCAGGGAGAAGCTGGTGCTGATCGGTGGCCACCTTCACACAAGCACCAATAATGAATGCAGCCCATGGCAGCAGAGGGCTGTGCCTCACTCCACAAAGTGCCACTTGTTAGCAGCAACGCTGTGCCCTGAGTGGACAAGGCAGGGGCTAAGGAAAAAGATGGCTTCCTTTTTTAGGATGATAGAATGCAATTGTTTGTCAAAACTAGTGGGCTGTGCATTCAGTTATTTTATAGCAGCAGTGTCAAGTGTTCTGCGTGTTATGATTATGTTGTATAATGCTAGAAAAAGTACAGAGCTGGCAGCTAAATTTGTTTTGCTAACTGTAACCTTTACTGTGATCCAAGAAGTGTTTGTCTTGCCCCATATCAGTACTTTATTCACCATAAAACTACTCCTTTGCTATGCAGAATTACTCATAAGTACTTTTTCTTTCTTCTGCATCTATACAATACTTTGTGGAGTGCAATGTCAGCAGTGCTGTAGGAAGAGGATTCAGGAATGACAGATACCTCCTCTTACCTCTGCTGCTGTAATTCTGACAGGCCTGATCCAAATCCACTGCAAGTTTTTGCAAAAGGCTTCCATTTATTTCACTGATCTTTGCAACAAGTCCCAAGAGGCATTTGTCAGCCTTTTAGAGAAGAATTTTCAAATAATGTGAGTCCCACTTTGGTCAGTCAGGGGCTGATCCTTCGATGCTGGTCTCTAAATATTTTAGATCATATATACCTATCAGCAAAAAAATACACCCCCACTCTATGTACAATCAATTATTTATTTATAAGTTATGTACATGTGTTACTGTACTAATTTATATATGTTATAAAACATGCACAAAATAGACATTTTTTAAATGATTGGTTGAAAATGAAATAGATTAAATTATTTTTAAAAAATATTCATTAATGAGGCACGCATAAAGAATGTCTTCCTTCATCCCAGTGGTCTGCCTTGTGTGTACCCCACTTTGGAGTCCCTCATCTTAAAAAGTTCATCATCCTTTCAGTGGCAGTGGCAACTTTACATCATCTACCAGCCAGAAGTTATCTATGTATGTACAGATACATACTTCTTGTGTGTACACCTCTATTTGGAAACCACTTATTTATGTCACTCACAAGTTTGAACACTTTATAATATTGTCTATGGCAAAACCCTTCTCAGGCTCTCCATCTGTTAAATGAAAAGTACCCCAGGGAATTTAAGCTTACATACACTGCAGGGGTTTTTTTTAGTAGGAATGGGCTACCACTACTGTAAATCTTATAGGCTGCTAAACTCTGTAGTATTTGGGTTTCCTGGACAAGAAATATCCTGAGCAAACTATGGAGAGTAATAATTGAGCCTGATATTACCCTTTTACATCATGAGTGATCTCATTATTATCATGATTTAAGTGATGATGCCAGAACCACGCTTTTTCCACAAACTAAATGATTCAGCAGAGAATTGTAATAAAAAGAGGCTGTCAGATTATGGTTTAACTAAAGTTGAGCCAAATTTTGGGTTCAGCCATTAAAGCAGCTGTAATCTGCCCTGGTTTAAATTCAGCTTTGTCTAAAAATCTGCTTTTGTTTTGCTTTGATTTTTTTTCCCTAATGACCATTCATTATGGATGTGAACTTTCCTTCTCTGTCTGGATATGTGTAAATATTTTGAAGCTTCTGTTTGCTGATTCCCATTATGTTTGAACTCTGCTTATTGGGGCCAAGTTTTATCAGGTTGTCTCTCCTGTGCTCCTGACTCTTGAGCTGGTTCCACTGGAATGCTGTTGTTGCAAAGAATTTTCATGCTGCTTGACCCTATTTGCACATACTCTTGCCTCCTAAATTTTCCTCTCCAGAGCATATTATTAATTATATCAGATCTAAATATGCTAATTCTTCAATAAGAAAACCCCAAATAAAATTGATTCACACCATTATTAAGACATCTGGGAAAAAAAAAAATCACAATTATTTTATGAAAGGCACAATTTCCAGAGGTACAAAAATATTCAACATGCACAAAAGCTGCCCACCTAAATGTCACTCTGATATTTTGAAATCTCTTTCATAGTTATCTTTCCCTTCTCTGTTTTATGACCTTAGGACACAAAACATGTCTATTTAATGTCTACATTAAAATGTAGCATGTCTACATTGAAATATTCAGTTGCTATTGGCCACTGTAAAATCAATTGATCACTAACTTCCTCTGATCTTGCCATTTTATTAAAATCATTAGCATCCCATCTTTTTGGAAGAAAACATTGTTTTAGGTGAACATCCTAAGGCAATATTTAAAAGTTAATTTCTTCCTTATTTTTAACATATACCATTTATTGTGTGAAAATTAAGTAATGTAGGGAAAAGAGGGACAGCTCTGGGGTGTCATCACCTCATTAACATTGCCATAGTCAGCTTGGTCAAAAGGGAGAAGAGGTTAAGATAGCATAGGACACCACAGGATATAAAGTCCCAACACACACAAGAAGTCACTGAGTTAACATGAAAGATTTCAGAATGAAACCTTGGTGCAAGAAACCCCTTGCAATAAAGGCTTGGAAACATTGTCTCTTGCCATTTGGAATATGTTCACTGGAGGAGAGCTGGAGTCTGTCCCACCATCAGCTCAAACAGGAGTTCACCACTCCCTAGAGGGGAGTGCAGTAGAAATCAGCTCAGTAATTCCTTGTCTTCTGCTGTCATAGGAACTCTGTCATCATACTGGACTTCATCTACCAAATCCATGTGCTGAGTAATCCATACAACAGCAGCTCGTGGAAAGGGTGGCATTTAACAGTTACTGGTTTATTCATGGCTGGAAGAGAGCTTACCTAGAAGCTCAGATCAAAAATCATCCAAGCAGAAGTGGGTAAAAAGCTTTGCTTGGGTAAAATGAATGAAACCAATTAACTCAGAGATGTGCATTTTGGAAGAAGGCAATGAGAGGTCTCTGCAAATTCTAGAAGGCCAAAGAATCCTCATTTAGAATATTTTTTTCATGTAAGTATGAGTGTGTGTATTTTATACATGATATATATATAGATATGGATAAGGATAGATGTGTATGTGTTTATAATAAAGCAGGGCATTTCCGTACTAGGCAGTAACACCCAGTTAGTGCTGACTTATAGGTAACAAGAAGAAAGTGAGCAGATGACTTGCTCCAAGCAGTGTCATATTTGTCCCTTTGTCAGCCTGGACTATTTCAGCAGCAGTTTACTGTCACTGCTATCAGGATCAGCAGAGTCACTGCCATCTTATGGGCTACCTATTGTCCATTGCACACATAGTTAGAACCATTACCATGCAATATTAATTCTGATTTTAAAAACATCCTATAACTTTAGTAATACATGTAACATTTACACATAAATAACCTTTGCATTGGAATCTAGGTCAGCTCATTGTCTCTATCAGGGAAAAAATCCCTAATGCCTGTTTATGTCAGATTGAGAAAACTGATCTTAGCCACCTTGAGCTTTGAAGGCAGAGGTTGTCAAGTCTTCCTGACTGCAACAATCTGACACAAAGGGAGTACTCTGGCAAGCTGATTGTATTTATCCATCTTGCAAGCAGTTGCCCAGCCTGTGGATTTCATCTCTGCCTCTGCAAGAGCATTTTGCAGCCAATAGATACCTGCAGGATGCACAGGCACAGAATTCTTGAAGACTCACCAGGTTCCTGAACCTGAAACTACACATATTTAAGTATGACAGTGAACCTACTGGAGTAATTGTGACTGTTTGCATAACTTAAGGCAAGTGTTTTCAGATTTGGGGCTGTGCTGGCTAGCATCAAGTTTAATACTACAGTAGCAATAGATTAGTTTGATTCCACATCTTTTAAATGTTCAGTTGTGTAATGTGAAATGGTTTGGACAAAAATGCTTGAATTGACTTGCAATAATGCATGGAAGAGTTTGTGCAACATCAGTCAGAATGAGGAAAAATAAACCACATTGACAGTTATTTAGTAAAGAGAAAAATAAACATGCAAATAGGAGTTTATTCCAGTTCATCATAACCAGATGTGACCTATAGTGTACTATACTTTCCATTATTTAAAAAAAACAAATTATGGGCTAGATAAAATTCTATTACTGTACTTGTTTTCAGTACCAAAAATATGTCCTTGATTAGACAGCTTCAATCACAAACAGTAACATATTTTCCTGCCACCTGCAAATACAAACAGTGCTGTGTTAGGACCAAATTGGAACAGGAATTAATATATTTATGCAGACAAATGCAAATACATTATGAAATAATAGATTTTTGAATTATTATTTTCTTCTTTTCTACCAAATAATCACAGCATTAAGAACATATAAAAATTCTTCATTAATTTAAATTTAATACTTTTTCCTTATTTTTTTTGCAGTGGTTTAGTTTATTTCTTCTTAGTCAAACTGGTTTGAAGTGATCCTGACTTCCCCAGAAGTCTTCATAAATCCTGTTAAACAAGACACATATCTCTGTTGTTTAAAACTCAGCTAGAAAGGGGATGTTAGTTCTACCTCTGCAGTTTGAATTTGTGTCATCTACATTTCTGCTGGTGCCACAACAGAAGGTGAAAAAAAAAACCCCAGTTTTCTGGCATTTTACAGGCAATTTCAAAATTCCATTGCTATTTAGAGGACATTTGGATTAAGACAAGAATTTTTCATCCTGGACTTTCAGAGGCATGTGGAGTGCACCCTGAAGTATGAAGTATACAATGGAAATACTTTCATAAGGAGTTGCTGCTTCTGAAATGGGAAAGCTTTGCTTAAGCTTGTTGACATTTGGTGGATTATTTCTGTGTCTGTCTGAGGTTGTCTGCACTTCAGGATTTCCCACTATTGCTAGTCTGCATGTGGCTCTAGTCAACTGTAGACAAGCCATGTGTGTCCTTACCCACAGATAACAACTTTTTCAGAGCAGATTCAGATGCCAGAGCAATATGAGTGACAGCATCTGCTGGTACATGAGAAGCTTGAGCGAAGCAGGCAGGCAAACTCTGAGTACCTCCCCTCAGGCACCACTTTCCTTTGTGACAGCAGCCACTGAGGGAAACCTTGTCACATGGGAAGACAGGGTTAACGTGCTCTGAAACTGTGTGTGTGCTTCATGTGAGTAGAAATACTTGTACAGAATTTAAGAATTTAAGGATTCCTGGCCAACTGGTTAAGGGAAAGTGGGAGAGTTGGTGGAGTGTGGCCAGGCCTGTGGCTGTCCATGCTGCCAACCTGCAGCCTTCTGTGGTCTGCCCTACTTCTCTGGTGGACCAGAGCTCACACCACCAGATCAGTGCTTGGGACAGCAAAAGCATATAGGGTGGATGTTCATGGGTTTCCTCTCTGGTTGTAAAGGACATACTTTTTGTTTGTATATATGACCATGCAGGGTGTTTGCCATGCCACCAAGCTACATGGCAATAGAGTGACATATGAGGGACAACAGAGAACCCATCCAGGCTTCCCATGCAAAGAGCTGTCTCTAAGCAGCCTGTTGTCACTTGGGAACAAGGTCTGACCTGTAGATCTGTCTGGTGTTCTCATGTGCCTGCTGTTTGTCTCCAAGGTGCAGCTCCTTCTGGAAAGGAGCTTTGCAGATGTACAGACTCCTGAAGCTCAGCCTGCTCCTCATACCTGGGTGAGTAGCAGCTTTGGCCATTGATACTTGAAGATACAGCTAAAAAAGTGGCTTCAGCAGTATTTCTGGATAACACCTTCAGCATGTCTTATGATATCGAATGTTTCCACAGCCTCCAGTTCTTGGAGCTACGGGAGAATGTACAAATATCCATTTCCTTGCAGAGGTTCAGGTTACACAAGCTCTTGGGTTTGTAAGCTGTCTGAGAGGTCAAATCCAGTCAAATGCTTGTGTGGCTTATCTTGTATTAAATATTGCAGTAGTCATCTTATCTATCTGAGAAAGGTGAAGGGTTCAGTGACCTCGAGACTTGTATCTATGGTGCCAGGGAGTCAGGGAATTTTTCAAACTTGCTGTATTATGCTTATCCTCTTACAGTCTGACTTTCTTTTAGCAGTGGTGTTACAGACAGCAATACAGTTAAAAAGGTACAGTTAAAAAAACCTCAACAATCTCTGATTGTATTCATTTGTAAGACTTGCTTATGCTCTGATCCTACAAAGCACTGAACACCTCAGGTAAAAGGGATTTTAACTTCTCTGGGTTTCAGTGGGAATTCTTGTACTGTATGCTCAGAAATCAGAAGAAGGGATCTTGAACAGAGTTCAGAAGTGTCTTTGGAGCTCACTCATGACAACACTCACAACCTTATCCACAAGGTCATTATTTTTAAGGGCTTCTATGGCTCTCAGCTCCCATAGCTGTGGTAACGTGAGAATATTTGCTATCATTATACAGATAAACAAATGTCTAATCTTTGTGGCTGCAAAAAATGTAAAAACATTGAATCCATTTATCTCAACACCAGCAAACTAGACAGATGACTGAAATATCACAGGATTCTGAAGTACAGTAATTCTTAAAACAAGCTCTTGGTATTTTTTTATGTGTTTGGAGTTATTAATCCTGGCATTTCCAGGCTTATTTCCTGCTACCCCATTGTGTTTCTTATTTTAAGTTTTGAACAACAAAATTCTTACACCTCTTTGCACATGGGAGCAAACTAATCCTCTACAAAATTCTGAGACCAAGATTGCTTGTGTTGGTTTTTAGTGGGTGGCTTGATGGGCCTCTACTGGCCCTCTTAAAGATGATTCTAATGCTGTTGTGAAAGGGCTTTCATTGACTGAAGAAGCCCTGCTATGTGCTACAATATTTTGATGTTTTCTCTATGTCTTCTGATACATTCAAAGTAATTTCACAAGTCGTTCCCACAAAATAGTGGGATCAGCTTAACATAAGAAGCAGCACCTTCCCTGTGAGCCCTGAGCTACTGTCTCATCCAGGCTCTTAATATGCTTAAATGGGGAACAGTATTTTTGTCCAAAGCTCTTGGCTGTTCTTTCTGGACAGAAGCACTCTAATTCCTTAAAACTTTTTGGAGCAGCTCTTCTAAATAGCACTGACAAGCACAAAATACCTTCTTTTCTATTTGCCTGCCTGGAGTGTGTAATCTCATATCTGAACAATGTAATTTATTATCAATATCTGAAGTGGATTCCTACAGCTTCCCCCATATATTAATAGCTGTAGCTTTTATTTTCTAAAGAAGGATCTCCTGGGCCCTTCTTGTGGTATAAGCATTGCTGCTAACTGGGTAGCTGGCTGCAAAGGATGATAGTGTCCCCTGCTATTATAAATCTAGTGAGCTCACCTTTAAATGTCTGTCTCTATTCTCCCCTTTGGGCATTGTTCCAGTCACTTTTTGGCCTTTTTATTTTAAAGAAAAATCCTGTCCATATGGTCAAAGGAGGAAGTATACTTGCCCTCAGATTCACTTAATGTCTGCTTGTTCTGTATATTTTGGAACTGGACTGCCATTGTTCAGGAGAGGAAAAAATAGCCATCTTCAATGAAAATCTAAATTAGTAGCCTGCATGCATCAAACAAGAATAAAAGCCCATGCTGGAGGATACAGTAGATCTAAATATGCATGCCCTGATTCACGTAGACGGCCAAACTCTTTCAAACAGAAACATAATTTGACCTATGAAGTAATTAATGCCATGATTATGGGGAGGGAATACACCACAGTTCACGCTGCAGCCCGGCTGCTTTCCATTAATAGAAAGCTCTATTATTCCCTCCCCCCCGCCACAGACTTATCTCAGTTTTAAAAATTCTGTTGGCTGCAAAATTCCTGTCTGTGCTGAAGGCATAGCAGATGTTTTAGCAAAGTTTCAAAAAAGTTGGTGTTTGAGTTTTCCAACTTATCTGATTGTAATTTTGTTCCACTATTATGTGGGGGGATAGAATATAAGGTAGTCTTACCCCTGAGGAGTTGCAGCTGTACCAACTACCAAAGATTAAGAACAAGCCACAGCTGTAACCAAGAAGAGTGCTATAAGAGGGAAGGAGTTTGTTGGTTGTGTGGAGGAGAGGAAGTTGTCAGTGCTGTGAGGAGTTTGCTCTGAGATATAGCTAAGAAGGTATGAAACCTTTGCAATAAAATGACAACACTATTATCTGAAAAGAGTAGCTCACTTCTTTTTCAGTCTTGCCATATAAATCTCTTTTACCAGATTTTTGAGGAAGACAGATTGGCTTAATTAAAACTTATATTTCTTTGTTTTATTCTAGGTAATTCTGAGACCAGTCTCCCACACACCAACATCAATGGGGTTTTTCCTGCTGGATTAAGCAGAAGGAGGAATACCAGCTAGAAAGACCTTGAGAGGAGGGTTTTTTTTCACACAACTTGTAATTAATTGTGGTACTCATTGCTACAGGATTTTATGAATCTCACTCTTTTGTATATATTGAAAGTGTAATCAGAGTAAAACCTGTCATGTATGTTCAAATATGCAGATAATAACTCTTAAAAAATACTTATAAAAACTATCCCTGAATCTTAGATCTCTAGAAACAATGGGATTGTACTGAGGATGTGTCACTGTATGTTTGCCACTTCTTATTCACTTCCTTAGGCAATTGCTGCTGGCTTCTCTTGGAGGAATGGTACCTGGTGGCCTGGATCTTTGATTTGATCACTCTGGTCAGTCTGAGTGATGTGAAAAAAAATTGACTTTGACTCAAAGGCTGTATTCTATGATCACTTTTGACAATTATAAGCACAAAGAACATGGTCATATTTTCAAATTCTGAGGTAAAATATATGGACACCTAAAATGTGATCTGAAACTTTTGCATTATTTGAGGGAACACTTTGTCACGATAAGAGCCTGAAGTGCCAGGAGCAGAGAAGAAGTATTGTAGGTTAGGCCTATGTCCTGCACAGAAGCTCATTTGTAAATGCTCCCTCTCTCTTCACTTAGGACAGCTATAAAATCAAGCTAATAATGTTTATACTTAGTTTTGGAAGGAACTTTGAGAGCTAGAAATAAATGCTTACTCTGCAAATGCAAAGATTTATTTTTTTACATGGAGTGATTGCAACTGAGTAAAAATGGGAAGAGGATCAAAAACATTTGGAAGACTCAAGATCACAAATGACTGTCAGTGACACTAATTTTCCTAATGTTTTAGGTGCTTTTGTATGTCCTCTAGGGAGGCTAAGATGCATCCAAGAAAAAGCTCTGGCATTATGTGCCCTAACTTTTTGATGCCTGGCCCCTGACGTGCAGTTCCAAACCTTAAGTTAGGCACAGCATTTCCGGCTCTGTGATACTGAACACATTTTGCCAACAGGAGAGCAATGGAGTTGCCTCAGAACACTGAGCCTGAAGGCAAGAACCCTCTGCTAGGTGGGAATTAATTTTTCAGAGGAGCAAAGACCTTGCTGTTAGGCAGATTTTGCTGGCATTTAGAAATACATCTCATTGTAGGCAGCTACTTCATTTTGGGGAGATTTATCCCCAAAACCTCAGATATAAAAGAGTTGAGATCTTTGCAAAACCCCATCTTATAATAAACCCTGTGTAATAAATACTGACTCTGGCCTTAAATTAAAATGGAATAATTTATTGCTAGATTTGACTAATCTCCTTGAAGATGTCCAATGTGTAAACTGGGCATCTTCAAGGCCTGTTAGGACAAAGATGGATGGGGAGAAGGCTGGCTGTGAGCCAGCAAAGCTGACCACAGCAAGGGAGAAGTGTGATGATTAAACCTGGGCCAGCCCCTGCTGCCCTGACTCCAGGCTGTTCTATGGAAAGATGTGCAAGGACAAGGTGAGGATTTTGCAGAAGCTGGGACACTGAAACTCAGCAGCCTGGGACCACCCCTATGGCAGCATGTGGGAAGCAGCAAGCTCATCTAGACACAAAATCAATCTTTAGTTAAAATCCATGGTCTTTCCACAGGTTTTTAAGGCCGATACAGTAACAGGGTCCAAGAACTGGCTCTGAGGGTGCAGTGCTTTAATACAGAGGTCCAGTTAAAGTGCCCTGGAAGCCTGGCACTGCCTCATGGAATGGTTAATCCATCTTCCCTCTCTGCCTCTGCTGTTCCTGCACATTTGAACTGTCATATCCTTTCTCCATTATGTAATAGCCTAGAGGTCACACATGTTCCTCTGCTTTGAATAATACATCTCTATGAAGCCTCAGTATCTGTGTTTGAAAATTTATTTCTTTCATTTTAATATTTTATCAATTTTGTCCTAAATGGATGACCTTAACTGGTTGCAGTTCATTTCATTTCTTCTCTGCTTAAATATTTTAAAGGTTCCAAAGTACAAACATCATTCATGTGGTGTAACAAAAATGCTCAGCTTGAGCTTTGGATTATTTAATTGTAATTGTCAAGCTATTATTAAAATTGATTTTTTTTTTCTTCTTTTCAATTTCTTCCCCCCTCTCCTTCTCCCATTTCTAACATCATTTGTCACATCCTTTATGTTGGTATTTAACTATACCTCAGTGCTTCTAGAAAACCTATGCAATGCATTAGGACCATTACTTGTGGACAACAGACAGGCAAGAGTCAAAATCACCCTGCAATGGGGACAGGCACTGCATGCAGAAAATACCTCAGTAACATAATTGTTCCAGTACCAGGTACAGTATTTGGTGTTAGGTACAAGTTGAGCTTTTTGCCCTATGTTTGGAGAAAAAAGAACCAGAGTTATAATTTACGAGCTGGCCATCTTGATGCTGCAACCAATCTGGATTTCATTAAGCTGGAAAGAGGTTTTATATTAATGGTATATCGTCACAACAACATATGCACCAGGAAAAAAAAAGAAGTTAACAAATACCTGGCAGTCCTAGCTCTGAAATGAGTCGTGCTGTTAGAGAGATGTCATTTTGGGCACATAAGGTTCTTTGTAAGAGTAGCAGTCCTAGCCTTACTCAAACCTTTTTAGGTAATTAAATTCAATCTTCATAAATTTCAGCATTGCTTGGCTTCCTGTCCTGAGCAGGTTGATGTCACTACAGGCAGCTTCACACTGACAGTTGCTGAGTGCCTGGTCTCACTGACCCTTCTGATGTGTAAAATGTTTTGGGTTATTTAGATGTGAAAGGCAGTAAAAGCTAGTAAGCACAAATTGATTTAATGATTGTTATTCTGCACTTATACTATGAGAAAGCAAAACTAAGATATCTGCACTTCACACTGTGGCATTTTGATTAAAAATAGGAATAACAACACTGAAAGAAATCTGACTCGTGTCCTTGAATGGTTTCAAAATAACTGTAGCTGTTCTGTGTTTGCAAGATATAAAAATCAGTATACAATCCATTTTTTATATTTAAGACATTTGATTATGTGGGACAGGTCTGTATTTATGCTGAGTGTTACCTTTCTCATTTTCTTCTCTCTTGCTTTTGTTCAGTACTTGTCTTGCCCAGCTGTAGCTGTTGGTAAGATATGGATTCATGTTTCATTTCTGACATCTCTGTGTCATATTACAGTGACATCACCTGTCTTCTGGTTTGGCTATGCTGTATTCCACCAGGAAGACACATTAAATCCTTTGCCTTCCCGCTGAGGCCCTCACTGCCACATTGAGGACAGTATGAAAGAAATGGCACCACCTCTCTTGCACTGGCTGTAGGATTTTGGTGTATCTGGAGTCGTGTCACCGCAACAGATGCCACTCAGGTCACTGAAAGCAGGAGTCTCTGTGCTCCCTATGAACAAATGGGGACATCTTGTTTCCAAGTGTGATTCCTGGGCTGTGCACAGAGGTGGAAACAAGTGGAAATGAGTGAATGTATAAGCAGGTTGCCTCTTGTTTTTTCCTGGAATGGAGACATTGATCCTTGGGCATCGGCCAAAAAGTCCTGTCAGGTGTTTCTGTGGTAATTCTGTTTTCCTCCAAACAATAGAGTAGATGTGCTATAACCAGAGCAAATGCTTTGAATAGTTCTTTAAAGAATACTTGAAACACTTCTTGCATATTTTTTTCTGCCCTTACAAACAACTCACCTGGTTTCTGAGGAAGATCCTGAAGGTAGCCATCTTCTCTAACCACAGGAGTTGCCAAATTCTGGTGATGTGGCAGGTGGGGTTATCTTGCCTCAACAGAGAGTGTGTTAGTATAATCCTTCAGAAAGTTTTTGCAAACACATCCTCCTCATCCCTAATTATATAATTAAAAAGTATAAGCATTGAAAATCCTTCTAAATACATACTTAAATCCTAAAGGATCTCCTTAGAGTGGAGTATTACATGAGATAGAGAGCTTAGCAATGAGTTGTACTAAGGCATGATACATTACAACAATTATGAACATGTTCCCTTTATTAACTCAATATCAGTAATTGCTGTGAGCAGTGCACCTCATACTTAAGTTTAAGCTGCTTTAATGTACTTGTAAACTGTATTTCTATGTAATAAATACTAAGTCTATGTAAGTCAGACAAAACGTGAGGGAAAGGAAGAATGAGGTGTACAAGGAGAAGACCAGGAACTGAGGCACAGAGGCAAAAGGTACAGAGACAGTTCAGTCTGATTTCAGTACCTGCTGTTCAGCAGTAGCCAGGCACAGATTCCCAAAATACCGTAAGGAAACTGTGGCATGTCTCCAGAAGCAGATTTCCCTGGGAAATCTGTCCCTTTGGCCAAAGTGAGCACATACTGCAGCTCCTTACCTCAACAGGGTAAACATCCCCATGAATAGCAGTATTTTTTTGTGACTACAGCTGCTCTTTTAACTCTCTGCATAAAAACCTGCGTTTGGGGAACTAAAGGTTATGAATTCAAATCCCAGTTTCCACTTCCAGATGCGTGTGTACATTTGGCTGGAAACAATGCTGGCAGTGTGGATGTATGCAGCCACGGATCATTGCAGCAGCACAAGTCAATTAGCCTTGGTGACACTCCAGTGTCCTGTGAAATAATTTTGTGGATACTTCAGGGGATGTTGTCAGAAGGATGGCACTGAGAACTACAGGACACAAGGGGCAAGGCCAGCAAAATAACCACCTTTGGCACAGGTTTCCAAACTCCTCTGTGTTTACAGACACCTGAACCTTTCTGCATTTCCTGGGTCTCTCTTGGGAAATACAAAGGATCACAATTAACCTTTCCTTATTACCAAGCACAGGAAGCAATAGGGGAGCCCCTCAGGTGACACATCTCGTTTGAGCATTCCACTGGTGTCTGCAATCATGGACGTGTCATGGAAGTCAAGGCAGGGAGAGCTGAGCCTCCTAATTACAATGTATTTACAGGCCCCATTTTTATTTGAAAGGCAATAATACACAGTAGTCTCCATTTGACCTGCAACGTAGGAGTCAGGCTGGTATGAGATAAATCTCCACTCATTCTTCAGTACTTCCATTTCACTGGAGACTACTCTGTGAAATAACAAAAGATGGCAAGTGGTGACTTTATATTAGCAACTAAATATTTTGTGGGGTTTGGTTTAGTTTGGGTTTTTTGTTGTTTGTTTTTTTTTGTCTTTTACATTTTTCTGTTTTCATCATCCCAAAAACTCTAATGAATCTCTCTTAAGAAATACTGAAATTTTGTAACTTTTTTTTCCTCCTAGATTTAAATGAAAGAGACCTCCTGTCTGGTTTGGTTTTTTTTGTTTGTTTTTTTTTTTTTTTTTTTTTTTTTTTTTTTTTTTTTTGCCTTGCCCCTTTTGGAAAAGAAAAGGTGTACATGATTACATGATTAGCACCTTTTATTTTCTTTTTAATATAGTTTGAAATTCTTAAAAAATAACAGGTTGTTAATGTCTGGCTTTAAAAATAGTGATTTTAATTTCTCTTTAATGAAAGCATGAGAGGTTTTTTTAACCTCATGGTTCTGTGTTTTGCTTTTTTTTTTAGCTTTTTCTCCCCAGAAAATACTATAAGAAGAATAAAATGGCAGACTTTCTGAATAGAAGTAAGTGTAAGTAAAAGAAAGTATCATTATTTTATTCTTTCAATTGTGTCTCCTTCTCAGTTTTGAACTGTAGAAGAAAGTTTTCATTTTATAGAAAATTTAAGGGAAATAATTGTGATTTTTCTTCTTCTCCATACACTGTCATTTCCTTCCCTTCTCAATGTTTTTCACTGAGGACTCAATCTGTGACATTGCACTTTGTTAGAAGCTGCAATAAATGTAGAAATTAAGTGTTAGACATGTGGGAGACCTAATGGGAGACAACAGCTAAGGGAAACATTAGAAGAAAACAAAATCCTTGATGGAGAGAGCTAAAGATATAATAATTCTCTTACTATTAGGCACATCTTGGAAAGAATTTGAGAAAAAAAAATATACAATAGGTTAAGGTAAATGAAAACAAATGCTAAACCATATCACATTCCAACCATGAACTGAAAACAAGACATTGTCCTTAAAAGCTTAGTATTGTACATGTTTTGATAATTAACTGTATGCAGAGACAACCAAGGTATTTTTTTTTTCTATTTGACAGTCCAATTCAAACCTCTTTTGCAAGGATGTGCTCAGTTGTGGGGCCCAGGTTTGAAAATTACCTCAGTATGTTGGGAAGATTTCAGTTGACAGCAACAAAAATTCCAAAAAGTTGAAAAATTTGGCCTTTGAAGAAAGACTAAGAAATTTTGTCATGGTTCAGCTAGCAAAGCCAAAGTGACACACAATGATTTTAAAAATAACTACAAAAATATGTTATAAAGAAAATAGGACTCAGACTTGCCAATGAGAAAGAAAAGGACAGTCCAAACTATAGACTTAGGTGAAATGTAGCTGGCTCCATCTGAGGGTTGTGCCAGGGAAAACCAAGTGGAATGCTGGATGATGGGGTGAGGGTTTGAGGTGGCAAACAGTCACCTTTGTCTTTCAGCTCAAGCAGGCAAAGGAGAGCACCAAGGGTTCAGCTTGGGGGCAGGAGGAGAACAGCATTCCTGCTGTGGAATTTTTGTGCCTGTACCCCAAAGTTGTCCCTAGCCAGCAAAATCTAATTACCTTGTTCTCCTTCTTATGAATCCATGGCAGAGCAAGGCAGTTTTCAGCAGACCTGGCAGGTACAGCTTGACTCTGGCCCCACTTTATTTCTGTAGGAGAGGTTGTCAGGGACTGCAGAAATGGCTGCCCTTGTATGGTTGAGCTGAGATCTGGAATGTCTCTAGGAAGAAGAATTTAGACATAATGAAATCAACTGTTCCTTGCAGA